TATATATATATATATATAAAATTGCTAGAAAAATTCTCTATAAAAACTTATTATATAGACTAAAATGAGGATTAGAAAAAAAAGGCACCTAATATTTAATATAGTGATATTTATTTATAATACATGAATTTTTACAGAGAAGAATTAAAATTTGGCCTTTTTTTTTCTAGTTAATATAAATTACCTTTATAGTTAGGATTTTTTTTTTCCATGTCGACAATATAGTTAAATTCCCAGATCAATTCTGTAGACAAGATAGATTGATATAAAATGACAATTGGAAAAAGTCTTACATTTTGCCGACATTTTCAAGGTAATTTACATTAACCAAAAAAAGGCTTAGACAGAAGCGTCTATCTTTTTAAATTTGGATTTTTAATGTAACTATAACAACAAAAACATTTCGATTTCATTTTTGCCTTGAAAATGTCGAAAGACGAAACGCGTCAGCAAAATGTAAAACTTTTTCCAATTGTTATTTTATACCAATCTGTCTTGTTCACAGAATTGATCTGGGAATTTAACTATATATATACATACATTCATATATATATATATATATATATATATATATATATATAGAGAGAGAGAGAGAGAGAGAGATAGATAAATAGTATACTTGAGTAACCCTTCGTCTACACATGCTCTATTAAATTCAACTGATTGAACATTTTTGGTAGCTCGGAACCTGTTCCGCTAATTCGAAGTTACCCGGAAACCAGAGGGGATTTTTCTGCTAGTGACTGAACACTCTCTTGGTGTTTTACACAATTAGCAGTGAGTGAATTTACGTACTGTGTTACAACGTCGTTTACCATACCATTATACTACCTCTTTCTTTACACTTCAAACATGGTTTTTAGCTGAAACATCTCATCACTCAGGTTTGCCATGCCCTCTTCCTACGGTTCAGCGTAGGGAAAAATCAGAAGTGGCAGTGATTTGACTCCTTTCTACTTCTGGTTTCGCCATTGAAAGAGAGAAGTCAGACTGTGGGTGAGATCAAAGAGAACACGTCGAGGCAGCTGAAGGTAATTCCAAAAGACCTCTTTGCAGACTGTTTTAAAATGTAGAAGAGACACCGCAAGAAGTATCTAAAACCTAAACAGACTAAGGTGGCATTGCAAGATTTCTTTTGTTAACATTAAATGGTTAGATATTTTTGAACAGACGTCCCATTCCACCGACTGCATCTCATATTTTTGTTCCAGTGGTGCTATTAGTTACTTTAGAAAGAAATAGTCTAATATAGCGATCGATGAGGTGGTTCGGTAAACCGTTGTTTATTAGCACCTGTTTCACATTATCGCGTTCTTTAAGGAAAAGGGGACGAGGATCCATACATTCAGCTAAGAATAAAATAAAACTCATCCTTGATAACGGCTGAATAAATAACCGAAAGCACTCATATATACTGCAAATTCTCGAAGCTTGCCATTAACGTCACTGACGCATCTGATCATATTTAGTCTCGTCAGATCGAGAATTTGATATGGATGCCATGCATGGTACTAAAGTCTCCAGAAATATCCAAACTGACATTAAACAACTGCTTTCTCAAATCAATGGTTAAAAATAGCATCCAGTTAATGAAGCCGGTGGGTTTTAGACACGACCGTACTTCTTCAAACCTCGTGGACTGGCGCTACAGAATCGCGAACAAAGAACAGTTCCAAATAACAGAAAGCGCATCCTTTGGGGAGTTCCAACAACTAAAATCGATAGCACATGTAACGCTAAAAGTAAATAATTTAAAATTCAAGATGACGACATTCCCATTTTTAAAAGTCAAAGAAGGAAGCCTGGAAAAAGTGATAACAAGTTACAATTTACACTATTTACATTATTCGGGATGTTGCTCTCATCTTTGCTGCCATATTCACGACGTTTCGGCCGCTGTACCATCCGGCCTTCTTCGGGTAATTGAAGTTTCGAACTGAACCCTTTATTTCGTCCACCGGAGTAAACTATTCCAGTTCGGGCGAAACGTCATGAATATGACAATAAAGAAGAGGTCAACAGTCCGAACAATGTAAATAGTGTAAATAATTACAATGCCTCATCTTAGAAATATATACAGATAACAAGTTACAAGTTATGAATGCCGAATGTTTCCTTAAAAGGAAACTGCTAATATTACCATTCATCCTCCTTATCTACCGTGTTTCTTCAGAATGTATGCGATCATGGCTCTCTACAATTTCCTGTCCTTCGTAGCTCTTAATAAATTTTGTTATTTCTCCTAAACCCTGTCTGTCATTTATTTACGCCACAACACTAAGCATGTTGTGTTTTGTTTTTCTCTCTCCTTCGTGCCTTCAATCTGCCCCGTGAGTATCAGATTTTCGAAGCCTTCTTTCCTCATTATGTACCCCAGGAATTTTAACTGTCTCTTCCTGATGTGAAGTAGAAATTTCCTTTTTTGTTTCCAATTTTTTGAAAACCTCGTCGCCGCTCACTTATCTGATCCATGTTACCATCAGCATCCTCATGTAGAAAC